GGCGACGGCGCCCTCTGGCGGCTGCCACGAGCAGCGCCCGGGCCACGGGGCCGCTGCCGGAGAACCCTGAGACACAGAGGAGCCTGAGGGGGCGCGAGCCAGAGAGACTGCGACCCCGTGGAGGCGGAAGCCGCTCTGAGGAGGTTACGGGGAAGAGTCAAGGCCATGGCCGTCCGAGGGAGAAGAGAAGAGCCGCGAGGGGTGTTTAGAGGTCGGAACCGAGGCGGTCCTTTCAGAGGACGCCATGAAGGACAAAGGCCCTCTGGTGGAGGGGTCCTGTGGCGGAGGACTGGAGGACGCGGAGCGCCGAAGCCCGCACAGCCCGCACGGGCCTGCGGCGGAAGCGATCGGCGGAGCGCCCGGTATTCGGCTCGCGGCTGGGCGAGAGGTCGCAGGCCCAGCCGCTGATTGGCTGCGACGCCAGGCGGAAGTGATGTTGCTGTCAGTGGCTCCTCAGGCTCCCGGGAAGCCGCGAGTTTCCGCAGGGAGGCGGCGGCGGAGGCGAAGGAGGAGGAGGCTGCTGCGGGTGAGTTGGAGAGTAGGTGTAGCGGGCTGGATCTCGGAAATCCGGGTGGCCCTGGACTGGAGCGGTCGGCACATGCGGAGGAGGAGCCGCGCCGAGGGCACCTTGGGACCTGGCGTGCTCTTCCCCAACGGGACGGGGCCTCCGGGTCTTAGGTTCCGGGTAGCATAGGTCCTAATGAGAGGGGCGCCTTGCACAGAGCAACCGAGGCCGCTGGGAGGGGCCGCCAGTGGAACCCACGTTCTCTGCTTGCCCTGGTTCTTTTGAGCAAGGTGAAAGGGCTTGAAGGGCAGTGGTTATAGAACAGAATCTTGAACCGGGGAGATGTCCTTCTTTCTTGATAACTAAATGTTGTTTTGATGGGCCTAGTAGTTGAGGGATGGGGCGGGGGGGTCTGCTCTAGCAACCCGGAAGCCCGAGGATAAGTGCTGCTATGCCCCTGGGCGACAGGAAAAGCTCGGGTTCTCTTGCAGAGTCTGTGGTGGAACCTACTGTATGAGCCCGCCTGGGGCTGCTCTCTAAGCAGATTCTGGATTTACTTCTGTGAAGACTGGGGAAGGCACCTAGCTATCCTGGGACAGTCGGAGGGGCAGGAGGGATGTAAGAGGAAACTGCCCTGGAAAGTAAGGGCATGGTGCCCCCCACATATAATCACAGCAGTAGAGAGGTGGAAGCAAGAGGACCGTGAGTTTTCAACTGTTTATATAAAGAAGGTAAAAAAGTGGAAACAGAAAAATCAAGGGAGAGGATAACTTAAATTAATGGGAGCTTTTGGGAGAGGAGTGCTTAGTGGCATAATTTCTCTCCCTTTCCAAGGAGCCTTTGGTAAGACAGAGTTACGTTTTCTAGAATGTTCTAAGTTGGCCCTATCCGAGTGTGTGTGTGGGTACTAAGACTGCTCCAGGGAGGGTTCAGTAAGCAGCAGTGGTTTCTGTAGGAGCTCAGGAGCCCACATGTGCCTTGTCTTTTTCCCCACAGTTGCTGGCTGGTTCTGATTTGGCAGTTCTCCTTTGTGGTGTGCCCTCAGTGAAAAACCGGCTTGCTGAAACAGGGACAGCTTTTAGTCCTTACCAGTCAGCCCCACTCTCGCTGTTACCCACATGCATGCCTGCTAAGTTTTATTCTGTTTTCTGTTTGATTTCCCTACCTGGGCTGCTGGGGACTGTATTGCCAGTTACCTGGTAACCAGATGCTAGCCTTTAAGTCCTGCTGAACTTTTAGAGAAGCAAATGAGAAGAGAATGACATGATAGGTCAGGCAGTGGGGTACCTGGGTTTCGTATTGATGGGGCCATGTTATGACGGACCTCTTCCAGTCTATGACTAATTTTAGATCCCTGGAAATGAAGCTTAACATTGCCCACTGCTCTGTCCTAGCCTTCACTACAGCTCCTGCCTTGCTGGCTTTAGTGGGACACTTTCCCTCCATTCTTGGGGCCCACAGGTCTGCAGCTTGTGTTCCCAGTCAGCACTACTCACAGTGAAGGTGATACCTTTCCTCCAGTTTCACAAAATGAATGTGACATGGTTACCCAGACCAAGACCTAAACTTCACAGAGAGCCCAGGTAGGAATGGGGCCCCACTGTGGGAGTTTGAAGTCAGCTTGGGAAAAGATTTATGTTGTTTCTAAATAAGAGGGAGATGGAGCTGGAGCTGGGTGTGGTGGCACATGCCTGTAATCCCAGGCAGAGGGATTTGAGTCCATTCTGGTCTACATACTGAGTTCCAAAACAACCAGAACTACATGATAAGAGTCTATCAAAAAAAAGAGGGAGGTGATCCTGATGCTGTCAGTCATGGGAGTGATGTGTACTTTGAATACCCTGAGTGAGCTGCCTGAAACCCATGAGCACTTAGATGATGCAAGGCTATTGGAGCAGCCGGGATGGTCATCCCATAGGGTTAGCCCTGGCTCATACTCCAGCTTGGGGCTATCATTTTGATTAGCGACAAATGTGATTGGTCACTGACAGACCATAGTTACTCTGTGATTCCTGCACTTGTTGCCTCTTTATTTGCTGATGTTCTTTCCCTTTGTCTGCAGCCTGCTGTTCTGATGCCGAAAGGGAGGCAGAAAGTTCCACACTTGGATGCCCCCCTGGGCCTGCCCATCTGCCTCTGGCTGGAATTAGCTGGGCTCTTCTTCATGGTTCCCTGGGTCATGGGCCTGTCAGAAGCAGGTGGGCTTGACACCTTGGGTGCAGGGGGGCTAAGCTGGGCCGTACATCTGGACAGCCTCGAAGGAGAGAGGAAGGAAGAGACTCTGACGCAACAGGCAGATGCTGTGGCCCAGGCAGCAGGGCTGGTGAATGCTGGGCGCATTGGAGAGCTCCAGGGGCACTACCTCTTTGTCCAGCCAGCTGGGCATAGGCAAGCTATGGAGGTGGAGGCCATGCGGCAGCAGGCAGAAGCTGTGTTGGCCAGGCATGAAGCTGTGCGCTGGCATTCAGAGCAGAGGCTGTTGAAGCGGGCTAAGCGCAGCATCCATTTCAATGATCCCAAGTATCCTCAGCAGTGGCACCTGGTAAGTACAGCTCAGATAGACAGGGTCAGCTCTAGTGTGCTTTGACTAAGAGGCATGTCTGTGGACTGAGAATAGAGTTTGCTCTCAGCTCATACCTTCGCTGTCTGCCAGGAAGAGCAGTGGAGTGCTGAGGATGTGTGCACTCGCTGCCTGGGCTGCTGCTTAGCCTTCTGCTTTCTGTTCCTTTGGCGGAGCTGCTTCACCCACTCTGCACCCCTGTAAAATGGAGAGTGTAGCAGCGTGTATATGAAGTACTCAGAAAACTGCCTTACACATGGTAGACCCTGTTATGTATGGCTAACTGCTAACCTTATTGTGTAATAACTACCACTTAGCCCTTTTCACCCCAAGTTACCAACAAGTGATGCCAAACTTTCTTGGAGACCAAGGAATGGAGGGGCAGGACTCTGATGTGCCATTCTGTTAGTGCACTCTGTTCGCCACTAACCTGTTGGTCTATTGTCTCTGTTTGGCTCTTTGGTAAAGCCAAGGGAAGGAGTAGCCTTAACTTGTCCCTCTGGGCCGAGCTATGTGTGTCCCTGGATTTCTTTGTCTCTCCTACAGAATAATCGACGGAGCCCAGGCAGAGACATCAATGTGACAGGTGTGTGGGAGCGAAATGTAACTGGGCGAGGGGTGACAGTGGTGGTGGTGGACGATGGAGTGGAGCACACCATCCAGGACATTGCACCCAACTATGTGAGTGGCCTGGAATGACCCCCTGCTGCCACATTACTCTTTTTCTTTGGTGTTACCTCCTCCCTTTTGTTCCTTTTCCTAGAAAGTGCTGTGCCAAGCCAAACATCCTGGCCGGGAGGGGTTGAGGGGGTGGATAGTGTTTTTCACTCTCCTTTCTCAGTCAGCTTTCCAGCCTAGCAGTTAAGGCCCACAAGGTGACTTTAGTCTATAGCAAGAGCAATTCCAGGCATTACTTCCTGCTTCCTGTTGTTGCTGCTCCTTCTCTGGGGAGCAGGGAGTGGCCTTATAGGCTGCTTTCTCCTCAGAGGTTCTGAAAACTGGCTAAGGTGTGTCTTTTAGAGAATCTGATATTTATCACGTGTTTCCCCCAAACAGTGGACAGAGTCCTAAACAGGCAAGAGAGAGCTTTGCTAAAAGCCTTGGCCCTTCTCAGTTGTTCCCCAGTGTCCTTGGCTCCTA